AAAAAAAGATAAAGGGCATCTATAAAAAAAAAACAAACACAACAAAATCAACCTTATAGCTAACAACATTATACTTACTGATGAAATGTTGAATGCTTTCTCCCCTAAGATTGGGAACAAGGCAAAGATGTCTGATGTCACCCCCTCTATGCATAATCATTTTGGAGGTCCTGATCAATGTTATAAGATGGAAATATGTATATATATATATGAGGCATAAAGATTGTAAAGAAAAAGAAACTGTCATTTTTCACAGATAGCATAATTGTTTATATAGAAAGTCTTAAGGAATATGAAAAGACTAATAGAACCAGTAAGTGAATTTAGTAAGCTCATAGGATAAAAGGTCAAAATTCAAAAATCAGTGACATGTTATTTAGTTTCTATCTAGTAGCAATAAACAGCTGGGAAGTAAAATGAATAAAACAAAATTTTATTCATTAACACTAAATGACATAAAATACTTGCTAAATAATTTTATGAAAAAATGTACAAAACTACAATAAAAATTGCTGAGAAATTAATAATAAATGGAACGGTATCCTGTTTATGGTTTAGAAAACACAATATTATTAGTACTAACTTACCCCTCAAATGATGTATAGATTCAATCTTGTTCTTTAAAAATTTCACTATTTTTTTCCAGTAATTGACAACATAGTTCTAAAATTTATGTGAAAATGCAAAGGATCTAGTAGCCAAAACAATCTTATAGAAGAAGAGTAAATATAGAAGAATAAATTTGTAGGACCTAACCTACCTGATATTAAGATTTATGATAAAGCTATACTTATCAAGAAACTGTAGTATTGGTAAAAGAATAAATAGACCAGTGGAACAGAATAGGGTTCAGAAATTAATCATATTTTGTCAATTTGACAAAATTGTCAAGGCAATTCAATGAAGAAAGGAAAGTCTCATCAACAAATGGTGCTGAAAAAACTGGATGTCTATCAGGAAACAATGAACTGCATCTCCACCTCACAACAAACACGAACATTCATCTGAAATGGATCATAGGTCTAAAAATGCAAAAGTTAAAACTGTAAACCTTCCAGAAGAAACTATAGGAGGATACCTTCATTATGTTGGGTCAGCAAAAATTTCTTGGTACACAGACTTTACTAACCATAAGTGAAAAATATTGATATATTAGACTTCAAACTTTGAAACTTCTACTCTTAGAAAGATGCCATTAAGAAAACGAAAAGGGCTGGACACGGTGGCTCATGCCTATCATCCCAGCACTTTGGGAGGCCAAAGTGGGAGGATGTCTTGAGCCCAGAAGTTGAAGAGCAGCCTGAGTAACAGTGATGTTTTGTCTGTACAAATAAAAAAATCAGCCAGGTGTGATTTTTTGTCTGTACAAATAAAAAAATCAGCACACACCTGTGGTTCCAGCTACTCAGGAGGCTGAGTTGGGAAGATCTCTCTAGAGTCCAGGAGGTCGAGGCTGTGATCATGTGATCTGTGATCTGTGATCATGCCACTGGTCCACAAAGTGAGACCCCCCCACCTCAACAACAACAAAAGATCATGAAAAGACAAATTCACAAAAGTAAAAATATTTGCCATATATGTATATGCACAAAGGACTTGTATCTTGGACATACAAAGAAAGAAACCTGACAGCCAATAATAAGTCATACAGCCATTTTTTTTAATGGGCTAAAGATTTGAACAGAAACTTAACAAAAGAAGACATAGTATGACCAATAAACATGGACAAGATGCTTAACACCCTTAACACCAAGGAAATGGAAATCAAAACCACAATGAGATACTATTCACACCTTTTACCCCTAAAATGATTAAAGTTTCAGTGAATATTAATACCAAATGCTGCCAAGGGTATGGAACAACTGGCAAGGTCATGCACTGCTGAGGAGATTATTAAATAGTGCAACTGCTTTGGAGAAACAATTTGAGAGTTTCTTAAAAAGTTAGCATACACCTACTGTATGTCCAAACACTTCCCACTTAGATGTCTACTCAAGAAAAAGGAAAACATATGTCTTAAAAAACTTGTAAAACTTGTATATGAATTCTTACCAGAGCTTTATTGATAAAAGCCCCTAAATAGAAACATCACAAATATACCCAGAAAGGAGAATGGAAACATAAATTGTGCTATATTTATACAATGGAATATTATACATACCACCTATGAATAAATAACCTGTCCAGCCCTATTATTCTATCATTTTATCAGTCCATTTAAAAGTAGGTGTTTTACAGTAACGAGATACCACTTCACATCCACGAGCATGGTGTTAAAGCAAACTAAATATGGCCAGAGAAGAACTTCATACTTCTATATTTGAGTCCTTGTGGCTAAACTGCAACCTAACTTAATAGGTAGACAAGACTGAAAACCTCATTTAGGAGTATGTGTCTGTACCAATAGCTGAGTGTTGGACAATCCCAGCGGTCATACTTCAACCACTCATAGACTGCTGAGTGTTCAAACTGTGTTCAAATAAGGCAAACACACAGCTGTAACCAATCCTACTGTTTCTGTACCTCACCTCCAATTCCTGTATGTCACTTTACTTTTTTTGTCTACAAATTTGTTCTGACCACGAGGCACCCATGGAGTCTTTGAATCTGCTTTGATTCTGGAGGTTGCCCACGTTGCAAATCTTTCATTGCTCAATTAAACTCTTTAAATTTGATTTGGCTGAAGTTTTTCAACAATGGCCATGACCAAAAACATAGATAATAAGTATTTTCAAGGATGTGAAGAAATTGGAACCCTATACATTACTGGTGGGGATATAAAATTATACAGTTGCTTTGGAAAACAGCCTGGCAGTTCCTGGAATTGTTAAACATGGAGATACCAAATGACCCAGTAATTCTACTCCTCACTGTATACCCAAGAAAAGTAAAAACATACATTCACAAAAAGTCTTGCACACAAATGTTCATAGCAGTATTATTTATAATAGCTGGAAAGTGGGATCAACTCAAATGTTCGTCAGATAATGAACTGGATAAATAAAATGTGATATACAATGTACTATTATTTGGCAATACAAAGTAATTAAGTTCTGTTACATGCTATGCCATAGATGACTCTTTAAAAACATTATGCTAAGTGAAAGAAGCCAGTCACAAAAGACCACCTAGTGTACAATTCCATTTATATAAAATGTCCAGAATAGGCAAATGTGTATAAAGAGAAGGTAGATTTATAGTTGCCGAGGGTTAAGAGTGGGGGAAGGAGAATGCGGAATGACTGCTAATGGGTACTAGGTGATGAAAATGTTTTAAAATTGATTATGGTGATATTTGTGAAATAGAACAGGGATGAAATTTAGCCCTCACCATGATTTGGCCCCCATCCCCACTAACGCATTTTTTTCCATACCCGCCCATTACCTACCAGACCTTGCACCACCCCCTCCATTGGGGTCATCCCTGATGACACAAGATATCTCTTGAAATGAAGATAAGCAGCATCCCACTGTAAATCTTACTCAAGGGAGTTAACCCGATCACAGGCATGTGCACAAGACCAGAAGAATGTCTGATCTTTACCCCATGCCTCATTGTATACTAAAATCCTCACCCAGGGAAGAGCTTACCCATCATATTTTGATCATGCAGTGTATGCGCTAGCATGATTTCTCATTGTGCCTGCACACCCTGTGCTCCGCCCTGTACATGTAATGACTCTCCCATACCTCATGCACATTCCTGTCACCTTTCCTAAAAACATCACAAAGACCTGCCCCCGGAAAGCCAGCCAGACAACTCTTGCTCCTGCACTGTCATTGTGTTCAAACGTAAGTCCCAATAAAAAGCCTTGTTTGGGAAACTTGCTCAGCCTTGTATCAATTTCTATTACATGAGAGCCTAAGAACCTGTGGTTGGCAATAGCTGTACAACTCTGTGAATACTAAAAACCATTGAGTTGTACACTTCAAAGGATGGATTATATGGTATGTGAATTATATTTCTATAAAGCTGTTTTTAAAAAAGATTGGGTGCTCTTGTGGTGTGACACCCTTGCCCTTTCCACTGTGCTTCATTGCCTTCCAGTGTATCCTTGTCTGGCTCAGCATAAATGATGGTTTATTTAATAGCAGGGAAATGGACTACATGATCTGGATCCTCTAGACCAAATGGTCTGTGTTTCAGTGAATCACTGGATACAGGAAATGGGAAATGAAACCATTTCTCTGTTAAAAGAAAAACTTTACACAAATTAAATTTGATAAATTTAAAGCTTCAGACAAATTTAATACAATTAAATTTAACAGAGCTTAACAGAACAATGATTAGAGAATCAGTAGCCCTCAGAGCCAGCAGAGGGTCAGAGAGCTCTGCTTCACAATGTGGGCAGGGAACTTTTATGGACAGAAAATGGAAATGAAGTACAGAAAGAGCTTGATTGTTTACAGCTCGATGTTTGTTTAATTTGAATATGGTGTGGTTAGTGGACCACCTGTGATTGACTGAAGCTGGCTGCTATGGTCGACTGAGTCTCAGCTATTGTTACAAAAATATACTTGTAATTAGGCTTTCAGTTAGTTTAAATACTGTTAGGTTGTAGTTCCTTACATAGGGACTCAAAGTAGAGTCCCCCAGTGCAAATTTAGTTTAAAAAATAGTAACTCTTAACAAGAAGGTATTCCATTATGGATACTTTGTTCAACTCCCAAACCCATCACTTGCTAGCTATGAAACTTTAGCCAAATTACTTAAACTCTTTTTATCTTTGGTTTCTTCACACAGAAATGAGGATAATAATACCCATATCATAAGGTGTTATAAGAATTTAATTATATGTAGAAAGCTCTCAGCACAGTATCCAACATATAATAAGTGTTGAATAAATAGTTACACAATTACTGTTTATTTTTATCATGATTATTTATAGTGTATAGTTTCTAATTAAGTGCTTTCCTCTTTAGAGGAGTCAAAATATTCTTTATGGCTGTTTACTATTTATACTTCACGAGCCCTGTTGATGTGTGCTGTTCTTTTAATAGGTACAACATAAGAGATATGATGCAATTCTTAAGCGTTTGCATTGTCAGGTGAACAAGCTTCAGTCAAATAGACGACAGTGGCAATGGAACATTCAACAACTGGAAAAAACCGCAGCCGAATTAAGAAAATGCATTGGAACGCAAGAACAACATTGCCATAGGGCAGTGTGGAACACAGGCGATGACAGCAAAAATTATGGGACAGAACATTGAGAAAATCTCCTGGATTCCTAATAACAAGCAGCCACTATCAGTGGCCTGTCTTAATGACAGATGTCTTTGGTGGTGGTTGTTTTTTAAATCAGTCATCCACTTGTTAAAATGCCTTCTAGCCCTACACTTGATAGCAGTTGACAGACAATAGGAATGCCTACAGGAGAATAGTGCAAGAGTCTCTATGACTATTTTGAGTGTGTAAAATGTATTATACTCATGAATATCTTTATAACTATGTCCATTCACTACCCTATGAAGTAAAAATTTAGAAGGTAAAAAACATTTGATTTTCTTCAATGATTTATATTGTTAAGATATTTAAAAATGTTTGTTTCAAACTTTTTATTGGAACTTGTTTTTTTACAACTGCCTTTACAGTAGCCCATAAATATTGATATTTATAATAATGTTTTTGTATGTTCAATGCTTCAAATATTTTCTCCATTTTCTCTTTTATCTAGAAGGTAACGATCATTTTTCTTTGTTATTAAGTAACATATTTTAGAGTGATACAATGAATAAAATATTTTGTTCACTTTTCTGTCTATAAATTATTCATATTCTGTGACTAAAGTTATAACATCATGTAACTCTTAAGAGTATTAATCAGTACATACTAACATTTTTTTCTCAATGAAAGGCAAAATGTCTATAAATCAAATGTTAACTTGTCTCTTTCAAGGTAAAAATGATCCCTTTAATGGTTCCATTGAGTCAAATACTTAAAAACAAAAACATATGAAGATATGCTTTTAAAATATTCATTTGTAAGGTTAAATAATTTCAAGCAGACAGCATCAAAAAACATGTTTAAATCCATTATCTCTTTGCCTTTCTATGTGCCTAAAATTCAGTAAGTGGAGCTGATATAAAACCTGATATAATAATCTTATTATGTCTAACAGTAATAGTTTTATGATGGCTTAGCATGGCTTACTATGGCTAACACTTCAAACAGCTTATCCTGTAACACAATCAGCTTTGGTCCATGACTCAGAAACACGGCTACAGTAAAAATGGTGAAACCTACAGCTTCTGGGTAGTACACACTATGCTCGGCTGAAGACAAGCCTGAACCAAATGCTGATTATATAAATAGATTTTAATGTAACTTGCATACTAAAAAGTTATTATACTTCCTAAGTTTAGTTATCACTTAGATTCTAGTTTTCTAAACTGTTTTTAAGTTTATACTGGGATTCAAAATATTTGTAAATGATAAAACCTTGAGTTATAGATTTGAAAGTTTGTTTTTAAATTCAGATATGAAGAAAACAGGTATAAACTGCTTAAGATAATGTGCTCTATTTGTAAAAGTAAGTTTTAATGTAGTTTTCTAAAATATCATTTATAATACATGTACCTATTTTACATTTTATGACAGTCAAAAGTTATTTGAAAAACGTTTTTTCTTCTTTCTAATCTTAAAAACGATTTCAGATAATAGAGGCTTTCAGATTAATTAAGAACTAAAATTCGAGGTATCCAAAGCTTGATGATTTAGTGGATATGATATTTTAACACAATCATAAACTCTAAGATTAGAAAATTGAAGTTACTTTTAATTTCAGTTCTGTATAACTGAGCTTAGAACATGAGCTCTTTATTCACACACATGCTTCTGATTTAACACTCAGTCTCTTTGGGGTAAGAGTTCAAAATTCTCCTCTTTCTCAGTTTTTTTTTCCTCCATGGAAATGTTCTAAGTTCCTGGGGGACTTGTGTCATCAGAGACACGGCTTTGCTCCAAATGTCATTTTCCTAATCTCACTGGCCTGTGCGGAAATGTAATCCATTTTTCCTGGTGTCATCGTGAGTGTGTGCTCTATCTGCAACTGTTTAGTCAATACAGTCAGCTTCATTGTCCAATCACAAGACCTCTTCCAGCCCTATTTCATTTTCTGTCTGTATGCTGGTCAAATTTTATCTCTTCGGGACCTGTATTCTATCCATGCATTCTTCCCCACTCCTTGATTTCAGTATAAATGGAGTCTTTCAAGGTTCTCAGTGCTTTTAATAGCTCAGCAAAATTTCAACTCTCAAAATAATGAGTCTTCTGCAAAGGAAAGCTATGATTTCAAGAATGCTGTTTCTACTGTGGACTTTAAAAAAAAAAAAGCCTAATATGAAACTCAAAGCAAACAAATTAATTCTGAATTCTCAGTAGTATCTGTCCTGACCCAGACCTGCTAGGCACTGTTAGCTAAATGATCAGTAACAGGTAACAAATGCAAGGAAGCAGAGGGAAGAAAAAAACCCTACAGTTAACATCTCAAAATATTACCTACTACATGTGCAAACTATGGACAAATTGCAGTTGACCAGTGTAAATAAATCATGATATCTGCTTTAAGCCATTATCTTAAAAACCATGGGAGTCACCAGATTTTACACATTAAAGGTGAAGTCAGCCATTATGGACACTTTCATGGCCAATGTAAATGGTCTATATATTGTCTGTTAGACTGTGTCTCTTCCAGTCAATTGGTTAATCATGCTATTTTCCAAAGACACTGTAGACAGAAAATAACAACACTAAACAATGATAAGGTACTCAGTATTCTGTGTCCTATTTGACAATTTGTATATATCATTTCATTTAATTATCAAAATAATGGTCTAAAGCATATGTTATTTTCCCTAATTTGCAGATGGGGAAACTGAGGCTTAGGCTGAGTAACTCACTTAAGATCTCATCACACAGCTCATCGGGGCAAGGTGGAGATCAAAGTCCTATTTTAGCTACATGGAACTACAAGAAAATGATTCCAAGGATAAGCTTCAATTTTATTATAAGTAAGTAATAATTTATTTCTACATTTAATCTATCATTTTGATATATTACAAGGCATCCAATAAATTTAATCAAAGGGAGAAATTTTGTAATTAAAAATAAATGACACACAAATGCATAGGTAACAGTACATAAGTGTCAGTGTAATATTTTGGCTGTGAAAAATGGAATCCTGTTTATGAAAATTGCTTTGGAATCTTTTAAAGTTTACATAGGACATTGTAATTAAAACTAAATTTCTGGGCCGGGCGTGGTGGCTCAAGCCTGTAATCCCAGCACTTTGGGAGGCCGAGGTGGGTGGATCACGAGGTCAAGAGATCGAGACCATCCTGGTCAACATGGTGAAACCCCGTCTCTACTAAAAATACAAAAAATTAGCTGGGCATGGTGGTGCGTGCCTGTAGTCCCAGCTACGCAGGAGGCTGAGGCAGGAGAATTGCCTGAACCCAGGAGGCGGCGGTTGCGGTGAGCCGAGATCGCGCCATTGCACTCCAGCCTGGGCAACAAGAGCAAAACTCCGTCTCAAAAACAAACAAAAAAAACCAAAACTCTAAATTTCTGTTCTTTTGCATTGAACATGGAATTCACTGTTTATCCATAAAAGTTATTAAAGGGCTACATGAACACTATAGTGATTTGAAACTATTTGGAGGGGGAATCAGTAATTCAGAAGAGCATGTGGTTTTCATTTGTTGTTGCTCATAGTCTAGCTTCTCATGTTTTCAATATTATAAATATTTTATTTTTCATTAGCTAAGCTAATGATTACTCAAGTTAATGATCAGAAGCTAAAAGTTATACGCCTGTCAAAAGCAGCCTATGGTATTTGTTATTTGAATTTATAATGTATTTCTAAGGGAAGCAGCTGTTTTTCCTTGCTGATAAGGCAATGTCAGGAATGGGGCTTCTATATCGCATTAGCTACCAAATAATACTTTCTCTTGAGTATTACTGAACTATAACCAAAACCAAGAAAAATAAATTGAAACAGATACTAATAGCCAAATAGATCTATTCAATACATAGCTAAGAATAGGCTGCTCCAAATTGCTTTTTCTTTTCTGTAATGTTCTATTTAAATAATGACTGTGAGCTCTAGATCTTTAGAAAAATAAAAATAGCCTATGATTTGGTAATGACAGGGTTGCCGTTTACATAATCCAGTGAAGACAGACATGAAGTAATGAGACTTCAACCTGTTAATTAATGAGATGATGTATTCCAAAAGCAAAATTAGAGTTCATATGATAAATGGTTTTAAAAGGCTTCTTACCCAAAAGCTCTCTAGCATAAAAATCATGTCAAAATTGGAATAAAACACTTAAATTACAGATATTTGCCAGCATTACTCTATCACGTAGCACAAGGTAATTTAGAGAGATTGACAATATATTGCCAGTCTAAGATGAATTTTTAATTTTTTTTGTGCAAAATAAGTAAGTCAAGACACATCATCCACTTCTCCTGCTATTGTTATCCCCCTAACATTATTTTACATTAAATAGATGTATGTGGTCCTGATGCTTATATTGGAGATGCTATCTTGAGATGCATAGTCTCGAGACTATGTTTCTCCCAGAGTCCATAGTGCTTCTTTGTGTATATGACACTGAAAAAAATACAGCTAGCCTACAGTTTGCATTGGTCGTTTTGACTTCAGTGGCCTCATGTTAACATCTGAACCAGATGTCTGGATCCCTGTGCATGACCTACACACCTACTTGGCAAAAAAATGTCACATGATTTTCTCTTTCACTTTTTCCACACAGACTGTCTAGCCACTCTCAAGTGTCATTCTTTAAAATGAAACCTCTCTGAGAACACTTTCATCACTTAGATGTAATATTGACTTTGCTGGGCAGTTAAATAATGTTGGTAATATTTTAATTTGTGGTTCATACACATAAAACATGTAAAACATTCAATTCAGAAAAAGAGCCATCCTTATATTAACCCTCCACTAATTTAGATTATTTATCTTCTAAGCCTTTCAGTCTCAATTAATCTGTCAATGTAATTTGCTCATGCACAGTTTTCTAGTAATTAGTGTAATTCTCTCATGTTTCTTTCATCTCTTTTAATAAAAAATGCAGCTTCCTCTTTCAGACCTTAGCTTTTTCAGGCCCTACACAGCCATAAGTTGCATCGTCTTCAAGCTCCAATTCTAATTTTTTGTTTTAACTCCAAAGCTTAATCCAGTGGCCTCACTTAGCTCTCAGTCATTGAAGATAATCTCTTCATTTAGAACCAGCTTATCCAGGAATCTATCTTTTTTTTTTATTTTGACGTGCCCCACAAAGAAATCTTTCTGAAATGTTATGTACTAGACACAGTCACTGCTTTGCCCAAATCCTCTCAGATTTTTAAAAATTCTTTTTGAGCAGCCCTCTCCCAATTGAGTTGTGTTTTGACTCCAAAAACTCTTATTTAAGACTTTCTTTGGGATGTTTGCTACCCTTAAAGGACTTTGCTTGATACTGCAGCCATGCTTGTCTTCTTTTCTCCTTACCCGTCCTGCTTCCCTTACTAATTTCTCTAGGGAAGACTTCAACAATAAATCACTCATTCAAGAATCTTCATCTCAGAATCTGCTTCTGGGAATCCCAGACTAAGTCACCTTACAAGATTAATCACACATTGAAATCTCTATTTTCCAGAGATGACTATTGTTCTGCTCCTGTTCCTCCCTCC